AAACAATAAAAACAAAAATAAAAAGCAAAACAAAATCAAAGTTAACGTCAAAAATGATTAAAATTAAGGTTAACATCATTCTATATAATGCTACATTCCCCAATTAAGAAAGGAGAGTTCACATATACAACTAAATGGTAAGTGTAGAGAAGTGGCTGAAATTCTGCATACTTCATAGTAAATTATGCATGAAAGTTTATTAACTGCATAAACTTCCTGAGTGGCTCCCATGCTGCGCTAGGTCTACATGCTTTAGAGTCATGTCAAACAAGGTACAGCTGTAAGGGATTGAGCATGACAGACCTGGAACGACTGCACTTTCCGAGTAGTCGTCTAATCTGCTGACCGCAACCCTCAATCTCAAACCTGATGTTAGAAATGAAAAAGAAATGCAGCCCCCTCCCCCGCGGAAGGTAAACAAACCAGAAGCACGATGCGCACGCGTTGAGGAGTTTATTTTACACTGGCACTTTTTTTTTTTTCTCAGAGCCCAGTTTCTCTCTTCCCTCCTTGCTTGACATTCAGCCTTCTGGTTAGATATTTTTTGTTTGTTTTTCCTTTATTTAAAATCTTCCAGAATGGGAGCTGTTGCTTTTTACATGCTTCCAGCTATGTCAGCGGAAAACGACTTCAGCCTGACCTAGCTACTACCCAGGTGCTTCTGGACGGTGGCTGTCCAGCTGCCAGACCAATATTTGTTTCCAACCTTTTACAAACAAAAACTATTTCCTGGGTGACCTGAAAACATTTTGGCTCCATAAGTAATTTCACACTGATTTAATTTCAAAGAATTTTAACAACTTTGAATGTCATCATTTTATAGTCATATTTGGTTATTTTAAAAAGGCTCTTGAGCCCACAAATTGCATTAATCAAATCAAAGGCCTTTTCTATACACACACACACACACACACACACGCCCTTTTCTGGTTCATCTTTGAAACACAAAGGGGGGAGAACAAGTCTCCAGTTAACTACAGGTTGTAAAAACCTAACCACAGAACGGCCTGAACATTATCTGAAACAAATCAAGTTTTTCTGAATTAAACAGAAGATGAAGTAAGTGATGGCAAGTATACCTCATGAATATGACCGTGCCCGATGACCAAAGTACAGTATGTAATACTATTCAATATGCTGCAATGTTTTGTTGTACAGTAAACATCTGAAACAAGGAACATCTGGTTACAAACATTTGCTGATTTGGGGGAGATAAAGGAACCCATCATATTCATTATTCACAGGAGACAGCAAAGAAAGTCAATGCCTCCATACACTAGATAAAACAGTCATATAAAACACCCTTATCACCAACCACAATTCAACTTAAATTAATTGAACAAATTTTAAGATAACAACATCACCAATACAAATACCCAGCGGTATGCGAATACCTTGAATGGCAGGCCACTGTTGCAGGATTTGTAAAATACTTCACTGTGGTAGTTAAAGCAATTTCAACCCATAGCCCTTTTTAGGCAGAGAGAAATGTGTCTCTAATAAAGAATGCAAAGTTACAGGCACTGGACTAATTTAGGTACTTTCTCACCTCGTTTGTTAATTTCACAGCTAACTCCTACAATTAAGTTTTATCTTGCCATCAGTTGGATTTATTTCTCTGCTGTCATCCTCAAATTCTCAAAGCACATTTCTCATAGACATGTTGCTCTCGTCACTTCAACATGGACTGGTGGCAGAGCTGATGGTCCCTCTTATCTCCAAAGTTGGTCTGCGCTGGAGCCAAGAGGCAGGCCAGATTTAGAATCTGAATGAATACTGAGAAGCAAGGCAAAAACAAACAAGTTTCACAGGCAGTGTTTATTTGTGCACCCAAAATAGCACTGAAAACGAGGTAGATTAAAAAAAAACTGGACTGGAATTAAATCTGGGGTTCTAAACTGATGTATCCCGTCATCATCCAATCCAAAAATTGCAGCGGAAAAGCGCCTTTCAAACTTTCATAGATAATTTTGCTGTCAAATCACTGGATAGAAAAATGGCAAGGAAGGGATAAAAACCAGAATGGATAATTGTTATATTACAGCAAATTACCTTAAAGATTTAAGACTGCCACAAATATACACAGGGTTATTTTCATTAGATTTATATCAATACTGGTTTCATATTTGTATGATGTTAACACCCAAGTTCACAGACATAGCAGCAGTTACTTCCTGATGAGACGTTCACGTCGCTACACATGGAAATACAGCACTATTCATTGGACTTGCACTTGGAGAAGTAAACATGGTGGCTGGACATATGACTATGTCCCAAAGAAACTTTACAAGCACAATTATTAAGGTCAGCCTTTATCTGTTCTACAAGGAGGAAAATGAGGACAGGTTTTGTGTGGTTTTTGAAAATAGGTAGGAAGGCCCTTATTATTATTATTATTATTATTATTAGGCTCTTGGTTAAGTAAGAAGGGAATTTCTGAGCTTCACCTCAAGGATTAATTACTTATGGGGAGGAAACATACCTCAGGCAAGAATGAAAGCAGCGCTATTATATGATTTAGCAAAATTATAAAATAATGCAAAACTCCTAGATAGAAAATTAGTTGAAAATGTATAGTCCAAATGACTATAACTCGACTCAAGCATGTAAGTCATGGGAAAAAAAAGAATTTAAAACCGCACAGCAATGTGAACATTGTTTTCTAAACTAACTCACTTTCTTCTGTATTTTAAAACTTCCACAAATGCTACATATACATACGGCATACTCAGCACATGTGCTCGCCCAGCCACTGCAGTCAGCACCGGGACAGCAGTATGCAAATTCACCACCTTCAACCTTCAGAAGATTATGTTTCTTTCCAGCAAAAACCTGAAAAGATTCTAAATATTACAAGGCACTGCCAAAGTCTGCAGGCAAACAAGAATAACGAATTATATGCAAAATAGACTTGGCGACAAAATGCAGGACATATGATATAGAGCAGCTGTTAACCAAATGTGTATGTTTTCATCCATGGAGCTTTTTCATCCTGGGGGACACAGCTTTCAACCATGACGAGAAGGGGTCTGAAAACCTGCAGTATTTTCCCTTTCTCAGTCCTGTGTCTCAATGTAGTCACACAAAGTCAATTCTTATCATGAAACATGAAAAAGTTTAAAGAAGTATGGATTTTAGGAGCAGTTTTTTTTTTTTTTTCTTTCGGACACATAGAAAACCTTGCAGTGCAAGCATCCTGCATCGGGCTGACGTCCTCCCATCACTTCAACTTGCAAAGTAACACTGTGGATGAAATCTGAAGAATCTGTATACAAGATCTGCAAAGACTCATCTACACCAGCTCGTGTTCTAGAACAACAACTGGGCTCTTGCCAACAGCAACTCTCACAACAAAGGACAGCGACAGAGACTTGGTGATGATGGGCTGATCTTCAGGTAAACAACGTAGGACACGGGTTTTGAAAAAAAAAAAAAAAGAGTACCAAAATGTCACGAAGTAGACTGTGCAAACAAAGTCCACCCAGTAAGCCTGGCCAGTCCACGGGGTACAACTTTTACATGGATATGGAAGAAAATGGGTTAACGTAAATGTTGAGTGACAATTTGGAATGTTTACAATTAGACAGAACTCTTAATTAGGTGCATGTATTAGAAATGACCTTGAAATCTTGAGTGGGACGTAAACAGTTTAGATATGTGCAGTTGGTAGTTGGTGAATATCATTTAAGGATTCTATTTGGGTTTACACAGACTGAACATGGGGCAACCCTGTGACCAGCCTTTAGGATTATCATAGTTAACCTTCTTAAAAACCAAAGGAGTACATTTTGAAACTGCCTCCCCTCCCTCCTAAAACTGGATAAAACCCAGTAAAGTGCAACTTGACAGTGATTGCTCTCAGATTCTAAAGAGGCTGCCAAACTCATCTAAGTTCTACAATCATCTCCAATGCTACAGATACTAACCAGAAATGATAACAACTAAGAAATGGTAACCTCCCCAAAAGCTAAGCGCAACTTAAATAGTATCCTTCTAGGGTCTACTCTCTTTCTGCAGGGCAGTGCGAGCCCCGCATCTCTGGGAACCCTGTAAAGCCAGTGTTTCATGTATAAGTATCAAGTACATTTCTCTTCAGAAGAATGGATCAAGAGGTGTAACTTCAACCCCTTGGTGAGAAACACCGGCGTGTCCATCCCATGAGATTGGTAACAGCTGCAAAGTATCCCTTGCGAAAGAATGCAAGCCACACCAATGCCCTCAAATGCTCCAAACCAAAGCAGTGTGCGCATGAGAGGCAAGGAGGTAGCTGCTTGGAATTATTACCCAAACCCTAAAGCAGCTACAATATCTGCAGTATCAAGGAACTGTTACAGTTCTGTTTCATTTTTTTTCCCTTTCCCTCCGCCGCTTTGCTCGTGCTGCTGTGGCAACGGGAAGGAAATCACATTAAAAAGGGCTCGTGTTCTGTGTTGGTTGAGAAAGTTATCCGGATTTTTATACAGCCAAATTCTTCCTGCAGCCAAGTTCTCCTGTCTTCAGTGAAAGGTAAACCTAAGACAAACATGTGAAAATCCCCTAAGAGGCCGGCTAGTGGAGGGCTTCACTTCCATCCACATTTGGGGCAAATCAATCTTTTTTTTTTTTAAAATAAAAAGTATTAACCAGCTGCAGACTGTAGCAATAAAAAAATAGGGGGTTCTCAGCAATGCATGGAAAGTGTCCTGGAAATGGAAATGCTCAAGCTGAGCTTATTACAGCATTCTGAAAGGTTATTTATTTTTCTTTAAAAAAAATCAAGTATCAAAGAGGATAGGATTCAAAGTGAAAAACACCTCCGTGTGCAGTGTTCTATGTGCAAAGCGCACATTTCTACAGAAAGAAGAGCAGTATCAAATACCACACAAGAATGAAAAAAAAGTGAAAGTAAATTCACATGAGGGAAAATACGGCAGAACCCAAAAGGATGAAATTTTAATATCTTAGGTGTCCTGAAAATAATCTAGGAAAGATCTCCCTTTGTATACATCATTTACTCGAATTCACTTGGGACCAGGAGGGACCGCAGCTGGATTATGCACGGTAGATCCTGGAAATGGCTGCAAGTTCATCCCTGCTGGGAACGGCCCCCCAGAATGCGCAGGAATTACCACAGGCTGTTGTGGTGCTCCTGAAACTCCTACCCACTGTACAGGGTACCCCGTCCCCACCACAACATTGTATTGGCAAACACGGGGCATTCCATATGATGACAACGGCCCAGGAAATGAAGGGAGTGGGAGTCCTTGTGGCAAGGAACTTGGGACGGCTCCACGAATTTGGGACAGAGAAGAAATCCATGTTGATGTGTAGCCCATAGTAGGTGGAGTATTCTAGTAAAAAAGAAAAAAATAGAAACAAAAGATCAGTTTATTTGACCAGTCTGTATTCCTTCTTATTCTTTGGGGCTTACTACTTTTATTACTACTATGAGTAGCTGCCATTTATGGGACACTCTGTGAATTAAATACAATTATTGGCCTGATTTCATTTCAGCTTCATAACTGTCCTACCTTACAGGGCAGCCATCTTCATATGCTGAAACAGAAACTTGAAACTGGTCACTTAGCCAGCCCTAACAAGCAAGTTAATAGTGAAGTGGGGAATTTGAATATAGTACTAGTTAGCTCAAAGGCCTGAATTAAATACCCCTCCCACCTCCTTTCCTCATGTTAGTGATACTGTGAGATCTTTATTTCATTTTGCTAGCTCTGGCATTTTCTCAGAGTGGCATAGACAATAGCCCATCCTACTACATAATTTGATGGAGAATGGGAGCAAGACGGACTGTGGCATAACAATACAGCAGTGGTTGGTAACTGCCGCCCTCCTATTCTTATACCATGTTACTAAGTTTCTAAAAGTCTAACACTTTTGTTCTAAGAAATCGAAATTGATGACAATAGTGATGAATACTAGTATATTTCTGCATGTTTCTACTGTATTGTGATTGTTCATGTTTATAGATGTTATGAAATCTCATGCATAGAAGGAATAATAAATCTAATAGAAGTAAATACTTAAGACAGTTTTATGCCAGTCAAAAATGCTTAACTATTCTAAATTAAATTTTTCAAGCCGAAACTGAACTTTCAGCTAAAGTTGATTTAGAAACTTTCAACTTCAGGCAATGTTTTTCACTTCAAAAAATGAACAACATGGGCCCAGCGGCATGGTCTAGTGGCTAAAGTCCTCGCCTTCAACGCGCTGGGATCCAATATGGGAGCCAGTTCTAATCCCAGCGGCCCCACTTCCCATCCAGCTCCCTGCCTGTGGCCTGGGAAAGCAGTCGAGGACGGCCCAAAGCTATGGGATCCTGCACCTGCATGGGAGACGTGGAAAAGAAGTTCCTGGATCCTGGCTTCAGACTGGCGCAGCTCCGGCTATTGCAGTCACTTGGGGAGTGAATCATTGAACAGAAGATCTTCCTCTCTGTCTCTCCTCCTCTCTGTATATCTGACTTTGTAATAAAAATAAATAAGTCTTTAAAAAAAAATGAACAACAGCATCTTATGAGGTAAGAAAACATTTCAAGTTCAAAAATTGCTTCTACATATCAGGACTTTCCTTGTATTAAAGGAAAGTTAAGTATTTCTGATTCAAAACAGCACACATAGCATAATTACATTTTTGGAAAGTTATTTCAATGCAATCACATAGATATCAAATGGCATGTCAAATGATATTTATCTAAGAGTTAATGACAAGTATTTTTGGGTGATGGGATTTGAAGGTGTGATTTTATAATTTGTATTTTTTTCTACATTGACTAAATTCTGTAACGAGCATTATCTCACACACAATGATAATATGGTTTTAATTTTTTAAATGGACTTAATTGAAAACAGGTCATACATTTCTTAAATCTCCTAAAGGTATCTCTGATTCAACTGTGCAATTCTAAAACACAGAGTTTACTCATGTTTTCCAAGGAGATGACTGGTAAACTGGAAAAATACTCAGTTATACAACCAGACTTGTAGTCCTGCCACCAACCTTCCATTCCATCACCATATCCGTCGCCACCTCTTTAAAACATTTCTGGGAATTGGCAGAGATTTCTCTTCAACTCATTTTCTCTCACCTGGAATACTAACCCTTAAATGGCCTATCAATATCTACCCTTAACCACCCCAAGTCTTTTCTTCTTTCAGAGTGACTAAAAAAAAAAAGTCAGCTTCAGTCACTATCCATGTTGTTTAAAATGAAGGCGAAGTCCCAAATCATTGGCCCTTTCCAAGCACGGGCAGCGCTCAGTCCCTTCCTGCTCCCTGCCTCACACAGGCCTTGCACGCGTGTGCATCAGGCTGCTTGCACTCAGCCTCTCCTTTGCTACCTAGGCATTCCTACTCATCGCTCGGATCTCTCACAACTTCCGCTTTCTCAGGGAAGCCACCTGTGAATTCACTTATTCGACTTCTCCTAAAGTATCCTCAATCTTTCCTTTGTAGTTCTTTTTACAGCTGTGATTTTATATTTATTTACAATTAACTGTCCCATTGCAGTATAGATTCCATGAGAATAGAGATTGAACTTGTTTTTACTCATCAAATCCATTGTCTAGCAGAAGGCTCACCCAGTAAAGGGTTTGGCACATACATTTTCTGCAAGCAAAAATGGAACGGTAACATGCAAGAACACTAGTGAGGTGGACTTTTTACATAAACACATAATCAAGTGAACCTAAAAATATAAAAGAATTACCACAGAGGGAACTTACTATGCAACATCTGTGAATATACACACTTATAAGTGTGACCTCATTTAATCCTCAAAGTACTCCTGCTTGACAGGCATGAGAACTGAGGCCCAAGGAGATCAGTTGACTTGTCTAAATCACACAGCTGGTCAACGACTGAGCTCAGTTTGCAATGCTGAGGCTGTTAAAGGCCTTCAACACTTCTATTCACATGCTGTTCTCGACTCGCCTTTTTCTCCAAGCATCCACCATTATTTACTGCAACACACTGTCCTCTGACTACTCAATAAATGTCTCCATTCAGACATACTCTGAGGGTCTCTCACTGGCAGTACAAATGGCTTTACGTCCTGAAATTTTCCGTTCGGGAGTTCCCATTTCTACAATGGTGATACTATCTACGCGTAAATCAGCACCAAGAACAAGAAACATACACAGCTCCCCCAAGAAGTGCACTACTGGCTAATTTGGGAAATCTGGACTTTCAAACATATGATGTTTGAAATGTTAATCATAAATGTATTTTCTAACATTCTTCACCAAACTATATTCAATCCCTACACATACACATACGTGTACAGAAACATAACACACAACACACTCATATATCACTTTCAATCCTGAGGGTTCATATTCTAAGTCTTGATTCACATTTTAATAGGTTTACTCATTTTGAAAAATTTAAACAAAATTATAAAGTAAAATAGGGTCCAAATTCCACCATCCAGCATATTGTTCAGATGTTTGTATTTCTGTATGCATATAATCAATTCTAATGTATATAATTTTATATCAACTGCATTATACAAAATGTGCTGTTCTATAAACTTGCCTTCTTCCCATTCCAGAATGAATTGGAGACAATTTTCTATATTTCTGTATTTCTATATTTCTGTATTTCTATATTTCTATATTTCTATATTTCTATATTTCTGCACCTGTGTGGGAGACCCGGAAGAGCTCCTGGCTCCTGGTTTTGGATTGGCTCAGCTCCAGCCATTGTGGCCACTTGGGGAGTGAATCATTGAACAGAAGATCTTCCTCTCTGTCTCTCCTCCTCTCTGTATATCTGACTTTGTAATAGAAATAAATAAATCTTTAAAAAAATTATTGCGCTGTGCCATTTGGCTAAGGTCAAGTATAGACCATTTAAAATCAGAGTTAGCAAATTACAGCTTTTCATAAATCAAGCTTTAAGGGAAAGAAGTCATGCCCATTTGTTGACATCTTATCTATGGCTGCTTTGGTACTACGATAGCAGAGTTGAGTAGCTGAAACAGTGTAGCTTGGAAAACCCAAAATATTTAGTAACTGGCCCCTTCTCAGAAAAAGCCTTCTGATTTCTTGTTGGAAGCTAAATTTTGCAAGAGATAATGAATCTAGACACAGACAAAAGTATGTTATAAATCATACTTATTTTTTCTCATAGTGACTATAACCCTACTGCCAAGACAGTCAATTTTTATGGTTTTAGTTCTCATATATGAAAAAGATTGAGTGTAAACAACTTACTTCACAGACTCTGTTCCAGTTTTCTGTCTCTAACTTCTGTTGACTCAGTTTAAGCTGGTTTAAACTTGGCTTGGCATGAGAACTTCCTACTGCTTCTTTGGTCCAGTCATCCACCAGTTTGTGTAAGTCATCTGTGAACATGCCTTTTTTGCTGGCTGGAGATTGCTGGGGTGTTACTGTATTACTCTGCACACATGGTGGATCTATAAAGAAAAAACCAGGAGAACCATGAAAAAAAAAAAAAAGAAAGAAAACATTGAGAAATAGGTAACTCTGCTTTGGCCAACAACGCAGTTGTATTTTATAAGGGAGAACCACATACGAGGTATAGATTCGGGTGACCAGACCTTCTAGTTTACCTGTACTGTTCTGCTTTAAGGCTGTCAGTTATCCTGGAGTAATTACTAACATTACCCACTTAACTCTCCAAAGTTCCCTCTTGTTTGGATAGTAAATTGTACGGTTACCCTAGGTGTAAGTCAAGTATAATACACACTATCTCCAAAAATATTAATATAAATAATCTTTATTTCAGTCTCTTCTGATGCAGATACAATAGTTAAGGAATTACAGAATGCAAAAATGCAAAGAATCTAGAGGTGTAATCCATACCCCTTGTTTGTTACAGGGGAAACAAGCCTGAAAAGGGTAATTTGACATGTCTGAGTTCTTAGTTACTGCAGAGATAAGGCTGGAACTATACAGCCCAATATACCATACTGACTGACAACATATGGGAAAACGCGAACCTTATTTGATTTCATCACTAACATTTCTGCCTGTGATTATAATTAAAAAGGAATGTTCATCTAGCATAGCCGCAATGAGGACACAGATGGCTTGATGAGCCTCTTCAGTTCCACAGCACAGTGTGTTCGAACACATGAAAGGAATCAATTACAGATGACCCTACAGGTGTAGTTTCTGAATCCCAACATCACACTGTCTTGAAATGATAATTTAGTATTAGCATTCATATTTACTAAATAAGTCTCATACAAAAAATTCATCAGGTTCAGTTTACAAGCCAGAGTGGTCTAAAACTAACATTAGAAAATACAGATGTGAAACTGAAGCACAATAACATTTGCAGAGGCTTGATTCAACAAGCACATGAAACTTTCTTGTACATTTTAAGGTACTTTATTTACATTTTAGTATTTTTTTTTAATTCCACAGCTTTTAGTATTCTTAACGCAAGATACCTCCACATTTTTCAGTTTTCTCTCTCTCTGAAATTTACAGAAGGCTTGTGGTATAGGCATAACAAGTTTTATTCTATTTTACAGATGGGGAAACAGGCATCCAGAGGGCAAACAGCAAGCTAAATGCCAGGGCTACACTCCAAGCATCTTACAGTTAGGTCAGAGTGCTCTCCATGCTATCATGTCAACCCATGTAATTAACTGAAAAATACACGAGGCAAGTGCTTAAATTGGGAGGACACAACAATGTCAGTGATTCTAAGAACTCTGTACTACTGAAAATTCAAATTCAAGGAAATTATATGAAATGGAGGCTTTAGTGAAAATCACTAGCTTAATGAATGAACTGGAATATACACAAAAGCTTTACAATATACTGTTTACTAATTTGGAGCAACTATGATATACAAAAATGACATACCATATTGTTGGGGTTGTCACTGTTCATTTTTGTTCCTTTTCCTTTTAAAAGATTTATTTTATTCTTATTTAAAAGGCAGAGTTAATAGAGAGAAAAAGAGAGGTCTTCCATCTGCTGGTTCTCACTCCAAAGCGCTGTATAATTGGAGCTGGGCCGAACTGAAGCCATGAATCAGGAGTTTCATCTGGGTCTCCCAAGTGTGTACAGGGTTCCACAGACTTGAGCCCTCTGCCACTGCTTTCACAGGCCGTAAGCAGGGAGCTGGATCAGAAGCGGGGACACAAACTAGCACCCATATGGGATGCCAGTACCACAGGTGGAGGCTTAGCCTATCGTGCCAGCCTCTGGAATTATTACCTTTTTAAGGCTTAAAATATTGAGACATACACGTCAGTGTATAATTAAAAAATGTTTTCTTTTCATGTTATCTCTCTGTACATTAATTCCTAGTCACCTACAGTAAGGGAACAAACAACACAACAAAGTCGGGGCAGACTTCAGAGTTGAAGCATTGGTGGGTGGCATTCTTGCCCTGGAAAGATGTCGGCTAGGAGGACTGAAAGGAAAAAACAGCCAAAAACCTCGACATCTCAATGGGAGAGCTTTTGCCATTCAACTTCTCCCTGAAGGACTCCCTTGAGTCCTTCAGCTCCGAAAATATTTGTTGCCTAGATTTTTGGAGGAAGATTTATTTTTATTTGAAAGGCAGAGTTGAGAGAGAGGACAGACAGCGATCTTCTATCTGCCCATATGGGGAACGAAGTGGCAGGCAGAGGATCACTGTCTATCTGCTGCTGGGCCAGGCAAAAGCCAGGAGGTCCAGGCACTTGAGTCATCTGCTGCTGCCTTTCCAGGCCATCAGCTGAGAGCTAGACCAGAAGTGGGGCAGGCAGGACTGGTGCCTATATGGGATGCTGGCATGGAAGATGGAGGCTTAACTTGATATACCACAGTACCAGCCCAAGAAATAGATTTGAGAAAATTTCTGGAGGTTTGGCAATATGGTGCAGCCGGTCAAGCCATCACTTGCAATACTGGCACCCCATATCAGGATATAATCCTGGCTGCCCTGTTTCCTTTCCTTCTCCCTGCTAATGCGCTTGGAAAGGCAATAGAAGACTACTCAAGTATTTGGGTCCCTGACTCCCACATGGGAGACTTTGATAGAATTCAAGGCCCCTGGTTTCAGTTTGGCCCCTTCCTGGCTGTTCTGTTCATTTGGGGAATGGACTAGCAGATCGAAGATCTCTTTCTCTGTCTCTCCTCCTCTGTCACTCTTTCTCCTTCATTTTATTCATTCTGTTTGCAATCTTCCTTTGACAGTAAAGCTAGAATAAATTTTTAATGTATTTATGCCATGTTATGTATGTTAATATTATTTTTCCTTAAGCTGTTTTATCTATTGTCACAAATATTTTTATTCATTACACTGTCTCAAATAAATCCACCTTAAAGAAAAAATCTTTCCGCACTAAGGGAAAATATGTCAAGACTCTTTCTTTGTACAACTCAGGTGGAACAAGTTATCTGCAACATTCAACTGGTAGCCAAAACATTAACAAACCAAAAACAAGTATTCAAATGAAATGAGATGGGGTAATGCCATGATTAAAACGGCCACAGATCCATTCACTTGTACAGACACACATTCCTCCAAAGTTACCAAGAGCAGTGTGTCATATGACAAGGAAAATGCCATTTGAATGTTATTTCATGCCTCATTAGGCTTTACAATTGAAAGGAACACTTATTGATTTCATGTAACAGTTATTCATATTATAAAAGACCACTTAAGCTGACAATCCCGAGAGCTCCTACTCAAGGCTCATTAAAATAAACATTTTGCAAATGTCATTTATGATTGGTAGCAGTTACAGTTCTTATTAGCACGTTCTTTAATACTATTCATTTCTTTGCTGATGACATTAGTAAAATCAGAGTTCAGTTCTTGGTGCTCCGTTCCCCTCTCTCCCTTAAGATGTACCTCCGTTCAAGTGGTTTCAGTGATTCTGCCGCCACAAATGTTTTCATCTTTTATCTCAAACCTTGATTTTTCTCTTCAATTCCAATTTCACAATCAACTCCAAAATCTGCTTTTTCTGCTGGGATGTCAATAAATCGGTCAATCCAATTCACAGACCAACCTGTAATGTCTTAATTTGACCATTCACCTAGAAGTTGTATCGCTGTTAAAGATGTTGCATTTTCTCCTAACCACTCAGTCTCAGACCATTTGGACCCCTGGGCCCCTCTCCCCATGCATGCACATCAAGTCTACTACCACATTATGACAAATTATTAAATATAACATCTTTGACCTATGTTCCTATCCATAATTCTTTAATCTCACAATCATCTTATGCACGAACTACTATGATTGTAAGGATCTAAGTGGACTCACTCCTGTTTGTAGCCAATATACTCATAATCTTCACACTGTCACTTGATTAATAGTCATTAAAAGCTGTTTTCAGAATTTACTCCAGTGCTTTAAAAAAGCCTCAATAATTTCTTAATGTTAACACAAGAGTGAGTTTTCATCTTTTTCAGGTGACAAAGTCCTTGGAAATCATGGTAGTTTGTGCAGAACAAATACATTCTTTATTTTTATTATCCTTAAACAAATGTATATCACTTATTAAGATAAAATATGTAATTATGTTACATCAAATACAGTATCTTATACCAAACATTACCACAGACAAGCTGTGGTGGCTGCCAAGGCTATTTTTTTTAAGCATGAAAGAAAAATGCTCTAGTGTAAACTTTTTATTATACCCAACCATTATGTTGCCTTTTGCCAAAATAAATCTTGAGTCATACCATCTGTGTGCTTTTATAACATGCAATTTGACCTATTGGCATTACAATACTGTTTCTATTCCATCTATTCGATTTTAATCCTGCTCATTTACCTTTCAAGAGCAACTCAAATCTTATCTCCTACAGGAAGCATTCTCAGGACACTATCACCTTTGATGAGCTTCCATTGGGTCATCTCGACCCAGTGCAGCTGCAGACACAATTTACGGGAACAGCAGACAATGCAATGCAATAGTTAGGAGCCAAGGCTTTGGAGTCAGACAGATTTGGAGTTCCACACTTACTGAAATCCAAGGGAAGTAGCTCAGCCTCACTATATTAGTCTTACATAAGAGATAAACTCTAATACCTACCTACCTATCTTACAGAATTGTTTGGGGAGATTAAAATTACATACACTGTGTATTTATGCTTCAGGGTCCGCAAAGCTACCCACACAATCACTGATTTGCTAAAGAGTCTCACAGGACTAGACATACAGATATATTCGTGGCTAAGGCTTGTTACAATCAAATGACACACAAAAGGGTGGGTAAGGAAAAATATAAAAATCTAAAGAAATTCATGGGATTGTTATTGTGGCACTTTGGGTCCGAAGACTAGCTTAAGTGCTAACTATTACATATCTAATGCAGCTTCCTGCTAATGTGTGTGGGGAAAGAGCAGAAGATGCTCCAAGTACATGGCCTCCTGACACCCATGTGAGATCCATTCAGTGACAGCTTGGCCCAGCCTCAGCCATGGTGTCTGAGGA